GTCTATTAACCCAACTTGGGATTGGATTGCCAGTGAGTCTAACAAAGCATCATTGCAGAAGTGATTGCAGTTCTTTGTAATGAGATTATATGCATTTCCTGTACTTTTCTGCAAGCTTCTCCATCACTTCTCTCACCTCCCCAGGAGTCATCTCCGTCCATCCGATCAAAATCGCCTTCCGAAACGTAAACCCATCACAATGTCTTCGGTTCTGCTTCGAAAATCCCCGTCGTTGGGTACTCATGAGCTCCAAAAGCATACTCCACCCCATGAACTGCCACACCAAAGTGATCAAATTCAAATTCAAATTCAAGTTTTCAAATCTGTCAGATCACATGATTACTTACTGGGTATTTTTTGAAGTATAGATCTCATTTGAATTGGATACAAACAATAAGGTACAGTGAGAATCACAATTTGAATTCAATATGAAGGAGTTTCAGGGAAAATGAAGGTTTGAGTTCTGACCTTGAACACCAGAATGATAGACACCAAGGCCAACCCAGTAAGCATACCCATTAATGGAGGTAAGATCATACACATTAAGGTGCACTGGCACCGATCCTCTCTGACTTCTTGTTGAATTCTTTCTGCAAAACATTTTGAACCAATGAAACAACTACTCCTTCTCTTCAATACAGACCCTTCAACATATAGTGATTCTAAAAGAATTAGAGAACATGGGTAAACAAGAAATCAACTACCAACTACCCAGTTGGGTGGTAGAAGGAGGAGGAGAGAGAAAAAAGAAAAATTGGGCTGCAATTGAGTATGTGGGGTGGCACAACCGGCGGCGAATCAGTGCCGCACCGTCTACTTTTGGCGGACCATAGTGCTTATATAAATGACCCCAAAGGTTTTGCTGGAACAGTAATATTAGATGGATCAAATTTTGAGATCAAATTTAGAGACTAAATGATATGACAGTTGATATGAATTTTTTGATTGGTGTCATGTCATTTACGGCCCAATAAAAACTTCAAATAATCAATTGCCATATTATTTGGACTCTAAATTTAATCTCAAAATTTGACTAATGCAGCGTTACTCTTGCTGGAATTGGTGGAAACTCTGTGGTTGGTTGGAGAATGAGCTGTGTGATCCAATAATTTTAAAATTTTGAATTTTTTTGGGAGAAAGTAACGTACACTCATAATGACATGCAGTGGGAGTATGCAATATATGGGCATAAATATGATTATCGGAGTAATGGATTTGATTATATTATGATAAGGTGACCAGTGATTTATGTTTGGGAAAAGAGAGAGGGAATATAAGAGTAATGCTAGATGAACTTAAAAATTAGACTCGATAATCTCAACCATTGAATAGGTAATTGATCATAATAAATGCTGTGATCCACAATGAAATCAATGGTTGTAATTATCAAATCTAATTTTTAAGTTTATGTAGCATTGCTTGGAATATAATGATACAATGTTCAATTGAAATGTTGCCGATGTGCCGTGTTATTTATAAATCATGTACATCTTGAGAATCATAACTTAGATGCTTAAGCTCGTCACAATCGAGTTAGCAGGAGGGGTGATAATCGTTTCGTGGTTGTATCGGGTCACTTTTAAAATTGTGTTGAGGATTAATTAATTTTAATTTAACCCATTCAATTAATCATGTCGAGCGAGTCAACCTATTTATTTTGAATAATACTATTTAAATTTAAAATTTTGATTTAATTTGTTGACATAATGATGTGACTTCAATAGAACTATTGGATCAACACCAACACCAAGTTTCAATATTTGACAGCTTTCACAGTCAATCCAAAAGTCATAGTGAATTAAATAAGTAGATTAAGTCTTTATAGCATTGCTCATTTATTTTTGTACAATATTTGTGTTAACTTATATAACCAGTGAATAAAAAATTTAATGTTCAGATTTAATTAAGTCTAAAATTTAATTGTCATTTAATTGAACTTATGTTCATATTTTTTTCTATAAACTAAAAATTAATTTATTAAATATAATATTAAAAATGTGTTTTTTTGTATAATAATTATGTCACTACTTAATAAAATATAATAAAAATTAATATTTTATTCTTATAATACTAATTAAATGTGTAAATTGTGTTAATTTCGTATTGTTCGTATTTTAATACTAATTTAATCTATTTATTATTCATATTAATCGTCATGTCAATTACAGATTAGTGTTTAGAAATTACCAATTCTAATCTATTAATTTTATATTAATTTTAAGCTATGTTATTATGTCGTATCAAAAATTATAAACCCTAAAGTAGGGGTAAAGGAATTACTGTTTATATATATATTGGGAATAAAAAATGGGGGAGAGGGCCTTCTATCAAAGGAAATAGTAGGCAACGGGTCAAGTCATGCCCTCTTGGCCCACCAATCAGCACCATAGCACATGCCGTGAGGCGAACAACTAAAGTCGTTAATTGGTCGATGGGCCAGTAAAAATCAGAGTTTTTTAAAAAAAGTGTATGAATAAATTATTTATTCTATTAAGTTCAATTTTAATAAAATATATTGTGTTTAGGTATAAAATTTAAATAAATCAAAATTATTTTATTTAAATGTTTTTTTTTAAATTATACATTCTTGATTGATAGTTATATATCTAATCAAATGTGTAAATATTTTATTAGACTCTCTCATTATCACTCCCTTATTTTCTCTCCATCTATCTCTCTTTCCTTATTACTTTCCCACTAATACTATTGAAACATAATTTTGAGACATATGAGTTGTTACCAATAAATGATAGTAAAATGTATTTAATGATAAGTCTCGTTATAGTATTAAATGAATTCAATACATATTATTGGTGATAACTCATTATGTCCTAAATAGCATTACTCTTACTTTCCCATCTCTCCCCTATTTTTTCTCTATATTTATCATTGATAATTTATTTTCTTTTCAAATATATAAATATTTGATTTATTTTTTCATCTCTTTCCATTCTCTCTCTCTCTCTACTCCTATTTTCTCTAACCATTTCTCTTCTTCCCTACTTTCTTTTTATTTCTCTCTATTTATATCAACATTATAACAACACAATTACGCTAATCAATTATATCAATCAGTTACAATTGTCTTGTCATATACCAAACATTTAGTCATACATTATAATAAACCAAACAGTTACACAAATTTATAACACCAACTTAATTTGTCATTCAATTGTTTACACAAACTAAATAGTTGCACCATTTAGTATTGTGACATCGTTACACCAATCACATATATCAAATATAGTATAATGGTAAAATATTTTGTGTAATGATAAACTCAATTTGGTGTATATAATTGGTGTAATTATATCGTAATACTAAATAGTGCAACTCTTTAATTTATGTAAATAACTAAATGACAAATTGAGTTGGTGTTATAATTCCGTATAATTGTTTAATGTAACTGTTTGGTTTATTAGAAGATGTGAGTAACTATTTAGTATATTATATGACAATTGTAGTTAATTGGTGTAACTGATTAGTGTAATTGTATTTTTATAATATTGATATAACGAGAGACAAAAAGGGAGAGAATAAGAAAATAAGGGTAGAGGGAGTGAGAGAGAGAAAAAAAAAATAGGGGGAGATAGATGAAAAAATTAAATTAAATCTTTACATATTTAAAAAAATTATTAATATAAGAGAAAGAGAGAGGGAGAAAAATATACAGAGAGAAAATAGGCAAGAGAGAGTGAAAGAGTAATGGAGAGAGAGAAAGAGAGAAAGTAATGGAGTAATAAATACCTTCTGTTTTCAAAAAATGTACTTAGAGTCAAATAAGTTTCTATAATATAATTTAGTTCAAATAAATCTAAATTTTTATACAGCCTTCCAAATTACCCTAAAAATCATGGCCTGCCCTAATGGGCCTTATATAGATATCCATCAGTCTCGTTCTAAGGCGAAAATTTTATTGTAACGGTGATATCATGTCATTATCGATACATGATGTCATCATCTAATTAGAAAATAATAAATAGATAGTGTATCTTCCACTAATCTTATATGTTGTTAATTGGATGCAGTTATTTCTGGTAGTTATAAAAGTAGCAGAGTTCACTTTATTTATTTTTAGTATTTTAATTGAATGGTGACACCATGTGATAGTGATGACGTGGTGTCACCGTTACATTGAATATTACTCTACTCTAATAGACATATTATTTTTTAATTTTTTTACTATTTATTTATTTTTGAAATTCTAATGCTAATAGGTGCCTGCCCCTCATTTTTTTTGGACAAAAACTCTCATATAGATATTGTATTTATGAAATTATTTAATTACATATAATTTAACAATCTTTTAAAAATATCACAATTATTGTTTTTGGGGACAAAGACTTAATAGAAAGTCCCAAAAAATTAGGTAATTATCGATTTAAGTTGGTGTTATATGTATTTTTTTGACTATAAGGTGTTATATGTATGACTTCGTATTTTGTCAATGACTCCTCTTGAATAAATGCATTTATTTATTTTTTAAATCATTAAATAAAATTTTAAACTAAGCCAAAATAATTGGTTATTTGTGTAGTAGAGTATGTATTGAGTTATAATTTTTAGTTATTTGATGAATTTGCAATAAAATTATCGACAATTTAATGAAACTAAATTGGTACTTAGTGACACATAAGTGATTCGTTGATAAAATCAAGTTGAAAATTATTATTATTGTTATTTGATAAGTATTTATAATTAATTGGACAAAATTGAATCAATTCTCCCGATTTAATAGAAAATAGATAATATTGTAATGTGTCGTGGTAAAGTCAATTTTGGTATGTTTTACATAACTAAAAACTTAACATTATCGATAACTTATAAAATAATTTCATTAAATATTATTGTTTGACCCCTCTTAATGTTAAATCTTGGTTCTGCCCCTGGGTGGGGGTGTAATTTTGTTATAAATCCAGTTTTTTAAAACCCGGCCCTGACCGGCTGGTTGACCCGATGAACCGGTGCCTAACCCGGTGAAACGGTGCCTAAACCTGATCGGTTCAATAATCAAATCGTTTGTGCATTAAACCCAGAATAAACCCTCTAAACCGGATAAAACACAGTTGAACCGTTCAACCCGGACGAGTTAAACCAAACCGGACGGTTCATTTAGTTTACTATAAATGGATGAGTTTTGGCCCTTTTTGCATTTTGCCCTAAATCGTCTTCGCCTTTGCTTCTTCGTCTTCGCTCCTGCCTGGTGAACGACAGTCATCTCCAACGTGAGTTCCCAACTCTGCCTCTTCATCTTCGCCTCTGCCTCCTGGAGTCCTCTGCGCCTCTGCCTCTTCGTCTTCGCGACGGTGGACGTTAGCATCACAGCCATCTTCAATGTGAGTCTCTTTCTCTCTGTCACACACACATACAGTCTCTTACTCTCTCATTCTCGCAATCTCAATCTTGATCGAAGTGGAAGAAAAGCCAAAGTGACTCGATCGATCAGAGCTCCATCAAGCATCGACGACTACCAGCAAGTACATACTCTCTGTCTCTCTCTCTCTCTCATCTGTCGTTTCTCTAACTCTATGCAATATCTAGAATATTGAAATATAAATTGAATATTTGATTAATAATGCTATATTTTATACATTGAGAGAAGTTTTGATTTTTTATAATGAACGGGGAAAGATTGTTCTAGCTGCTTCGTTTTTCTATAGTGAATGCTCAAACATGGCTTCTGAGTTTAAGGCATTATATGATGGGTTGCAGTTAATTGGGCAGTGTGGTTTGTCCAGTTATTCTTTTGTGATTGAGGGTGATTCGTTGGTCCTTGTGAATATTGTTTTGGGAATTTGTGAATGCCCATGGCCTTTTTTTGGATATTTTAAGGCAGATCAGGGATATGCTAAAGGGTTTGTAGTTTTGTTTGGTTCATGTTTTTCGTGAAGCAAATACTGTTGCAGATAGATTGGCTAATCAAGCTGTCTTTAGTAGGAGATCTTTTGATTTTTCTGTTGGATTGAGCCTTCCTTATGCAGTGAGGGTGGCTTTGGATTATGATATGAGGGGTTGGCCTTTCTGAGAAAAAGAAGGGTGGTGATTTTTGATGATAAGGGTTAGCATGGTTTATGGTGGTGTATTACTCTGGGTTCAGAGTCTGAGACTGGGTTAGAAGTGTTGATTTGTTTGAAATTTAAGAGGGAAAAGAGATGGTATGTCTGAGAGGAATTGTGGTTTGAAGAGGGCTATGTTTTTTGCTGGCTGGAGCTTTATTTCTGGTTAGTCTGGGGGCTGGATTGAAGCGTTTTTTTTTGGTTATTTTGTTTGTTTTGTCTTGATATGGAAAGCCTCTTGTGGTTTTCCTTTTGCTATAAATTTTTTTAATTTTGTTTCAAAAAAAAAACTTAAGTAGATGTATTTTTTTCAAGTTGTATTGGAAATTGAATGTGTTCTCGTTTGGTAACCTTTACGATTTTTAATTTTCTAAAAAACGAAAAGCAGAATCAAAAATTAAAAACGTCTTTTTCTCGTTTTTGAAAATCGTTGCTTGTTTACAAAATGATTACAGAAAAAAAAAGAAGTTATCAAACGAGTTTTTTTTTCTTGTTTTCTCTAAATATCAAAATAAAAACGAAAAACGAAAAACATAAACGTTACCAAACGTAGATACATGTTTGATGATTTTTCTCTACTTAACTTTATATGTTTGATGCTATTTTCATAATTATTGTAATTTTTTATCCTATTTATTAGTATTTGTAATTATTTTTATTTTTTATTATATTTACCGGTCCGACCAGTGACCCAACGGTTGAACCAATGACCTATTGACTTGGTCTCTTTGTAGGGTTGATGTCCGGGCCGGGTTTTAAAACTATGATAAATGCTGACCACCTGTGTTTCCCAACCTCAAGTAGGGGTGTCCATAGGCTAGGCCCGCAAAATTTTTCTCGGGTTGGGTTTTGGTAGTGTAGGACCAAACTTTTACCTAAGTGAGTTGTCGGGCAGGCGAGACTGGGGTTCGGGTAGGGGTAAGCTACCCGCAGTCCAACTGACGGACTTTTTTATATAAAATTTCATTTAAAAATAATGAATATTTTTGTTACTTAATATTTGTGTAAATTATATTTTTGAATCAAAAGTAGAATAAAAATAAAATAATGAATAATTTTATTTTTGATTAGGGGATGAATTACATCCAATAAAATGAATAAATCTAAATTAGGTTGACACTTACTCACTTTTCTATCATTTGTATTTGCATTACTCTAACATTTAAAACTTATATGCTTAATACATGGAAAAAAAAACAATACATTATTTATAGTATCTAAATTTTTAAAATTTCAAATTCTGACATTGAAAGACTTATTTCAAAGTTTCAAATTTAATGGTTTAAAAGTATAACTTTTTTTTCAAAGGAAGGGTGAGCGGGTTGTGTGGGTGGGCGGACTCTTGGTTAGGGTTTTAACCGGGTTTTTCAGGCGAGCCATTGGGCCAGGTTTCAGGCTAGGTAATGGGTTTGGGGGCAAACTCAAATCCTCTTTTTAATGATATATTGGGCTCGGGCTCGGGCAGGTCAACTATTGGGTTTCAGGTCTTATGTTGGGCCGAATAATGGGACCCATGGGTAACTTGGGCTATGGACACCTCCAACCTCAAGGGGACATGGTGTAATATTGCGTACTTGAGGGGTCTGAGATATGGGGAGGAGGAAATTTTCAGAAGAAGGGGACTACCGATAATTTTCAAAAAGACAAAGGGATGTGAGTGTAATAAAAGATTGTTTGAGCACAAAAACCAGAAGATACCCAGTAAACCGATCAACTCGGAGGGTTTTATATAAACCGGTCGGATCAATTGAAATGTTATAAAATTCAGTGTTTTGGCCCTTTTGGGCAATTTTTGCCCTAAATCGATTTCTGCCTTTCTCTGATTTGTGCCTCTTGCAAACGTCTGAGGTTCGACGACCTCCTCACTCCTCAATCTCTCTGTTTGCGCTGCGTCAAAGTCGAAGTGAAACAGTCGAGTTGAGGCAGGAGGTACTCACTCAGAGGCTAGAGTTTCAAGTGAGACACATCACACAACACGCATTTCCATCCATTTACATGAAATCTGCAATTTGATTCCAATTATGTCAAATTTTATTGCCTAAACTTGATATTTTTTTTTTTGCAATAGTTCACAATGAGCTTATTTTCCTTAATTACTACGTGTGCTCAGTGTTATAAGCATAATTTCTACTTAGTTCTTTAATTTATAACCTATTTGTGGTTATACATATATAGAGTGTAACATAATATAGTAATATACCCACTGTATTTCAGAGATAGTAGTCAATTCTTTAAGGTTAAAGTTGAAGGCTATGCTATAAACTATTTCACCATTGATCACATTATCAATTTCAAAAATTATGCAATTAATTAAGAGGAGATTGTTTGGTCAATTAAGCAGATTAGGGAATTTTTTTTTAATGGTTGCAGGTTGAGCTTGGGCAAATTAACTAATTGAGTAAATTATGGTGGTCTTGAGCTTTCATAGGGTATTTTTATTTACTTAACTTACAAGTTATATTGGAAATTGAATGCATTGAATACATGTTTGCTGATTTTGGGATTTTTGTTTGATCTAATATACATTAAGCATGTTATTTTCATAATTATTGTGATTTTTTAGCCTATTTATTATCATGACTAATTATTTTTTTATTTTTATTATATTACTTGTCCGACTAGTGACCCGGTCTCTTTTTCGGGTTGAGTGACTTGATCTCTTTTTTGGGTTAATGTCCGGGTCGGGTTTTAAAACTACGGTGACTAGTCCAGGAAGAAAGAAACTACCCCTCGGTTTCTCTCGCTCTCCTTTGTGTGTGAAATGTTGAACCAAGAACGATGAGAAGAATATTTAGCAGGGGAGACGTTTGGGTCCGAATTTCAAAGCGGTTCAGGCGAGTCCCAAACAGACCCTTTTCTACCACCAACAGCAAGAAACCCAGCACGACCCACAAAAACAATGGTAGTGACAAGGTTGATGATGGGTCGTCTTCTTCTTCTTTGAGCAAGTACGAAGCATATAAAGACCTGGACAACCTTAATTTCATGACTGCTGCTAAGATCCTATTCTCAGAACCTGCTAAGAAGAAAAAGTTCGGGTATATGACTTCTTTTTTTTTTGTTGCGCATTGATTTGCTGTTTCTTATTTACCTTCTCATTTGCATTTTGTCAAACGGGTTGCTTTAATTGGTATATGCTACTCCATGATTTGTCATAGATAGTGGTTTATCTCAGTGACACCAATATAGCCGTGGTTGTGAAGTAAGTGTGCGTTTGTATGTGCATTTGTATAAGGGTTTGTTTGTGAGTTTTTGTGGGGTGTAGCTTTGTGTGTGCAAATGTGCGCAATATCGCATCTTGTCACTGTATGTTATAACTGAGGCTAAACTACTGATTGAACCATGATATATTCCTTCCTGGGCTTAATAATAGTCAGGTGGTCGACACATTGAGGTTTTGTACAAAGTCGTATTCTTAAGCAAAGTTCAAGTGCAAAACAGTGAAATGAAATGTTTGGTCTTAATGCAAAAAAATACCAAAGGTAATACAATTTTAAGCAATTCATTCTCTAGTGTGCATATACAATGAGGGAAATGGGTACTAGTGTGAGACTGATTTCCAGGTTCAAGTACTAGAGATCTATCTGATTGATATCACATGGTAATTGAAATAGCAAGAGACACCTTTTAAGCCAGTGGTTTTAAAAAATTCTTAGAATTCTTGAACAATGAAATCTGTAAATAGCGAAGATGTGGAGCTATAAATGTTGTAAGATAGTTACCGAAGATACATCCTATCTAATAGTTTTTCGTAGTGAGGATCAGGTAGATGTTTATGGCACATTTGAATGGGACGGCAAGAAACCATCCCTAAATCTTGGGCAGCTCTTCACGTTACTGTGAATGAACGATTCAAACCCATGCCTGAAATGAAAGGCTACATTCTTTATTGTTTTAGTTCTGCCCTCTTTCTACCTTGTGTGGACTAGCCATTGGCATGAGTGGAGTTTTACCACTTTATTGGAATGGGTATACACAGACACTTTACAATCTCTTCATCAGAATGCATGTTTTTAAGTTGTGAGCACCTACATCACAGTCCCATTGCCTATGATTTTCCCCTTTTAAATAAACTATTCATTGGTTCTTTTTGCTATGTTAAATGCATATTTTTTGGCGTCAGGTGGGTGTCAGAATTGTCCAATCCCCTTCGGTTTGGTAAGCGCAACATCAGTTTGATCTAGTGTCTCTAGCAACGGCACATCCATGTTTTGAATTATTTATTTAATTAAAGACTATCAGGGAAATTTTTTAGAGAACTTCAGGCAAACTGGCAATTTGAAGAAGTTTTTACGTCGTTATATTTATTTATTTGTTTCTCGATTTTGTTTTTACTTTCACTAAAACAGCCTTACTGCACGTGGGGTAAGACTACTTACATCTATCCCTCCCCGGATCCTCGGGATTCATGTTTTGGGTTGCCCTTTTCTAGATGGGTGGCGTGATTAGGCTTATTGTGTGCATATTAGGCATCAGGCATGGTGGCACAGGCCTCATGTTTAAAGTACCTTCTTGGTAATAACATGACAGACGTTTAAGATTGTTTTTCAATCAAAATGTGTAATTGAGTGGCTATTCTTTGTATACAGTTTTGTTCTTCGGCACGTTGTTTCAGCTGTTGGAACTTAATTTTTACATGCCTTTGTTTCATGATCAGGATTGATTTCCATCTGGTACAACTCTTCTTTGCCTGCTTGCCTTCATTGGGTATCTCTACTTACAAGTTGATAGTAGTTTATATTTTATGTTTGAGATGCCTTTTGGTTGATGCTGCTATCTAAAGTTCAAATTTTCCTCTAACAGCTGTATATTTGGTGGCTCAATATGCTCGCTACGAAATGAGAAGAATGGAGGCGGTAACCAAATCTTATACTTCCTTTGCTCGTCATAATTTCTTTCTTTCTTTCATATATTTTTCTTCTTCTATTTCCTGTGATCTACCCTTAGCTATGCTTGTATATCAGTTTTAACAAGGACACATTTATGACTCATTCTGCCCTGATTGACAACTTTTAATGCATCTTTTTAAGCTTGTTTTTCATGTTTTGCAACTTATAATGACACAAATTTGTGTCATTTTGAAGAATATTAAGAGTGCAATGCCAATGAAACTGTACCTAAATTAGAATTCAAGCAAATTAGCTATTCTTAATGCCAAAATCGAGTGTCTTTTACATAATATATGAAGGGTAATCTCCACCACCCTATTGTTTATCCTTGTTTGGAATCTCTTTGGGAAAGATAATCGGAAGCATACTCCAAAATAGGGCGAAAGGTCCTGATTATACTCACTATTTCTTGAAGTCATCATTATAGATTTTATGTCAGATAATTCAGTTTGCAGTAACCTGGTTAGTGTAAGAACTTTATCGAACATACAATCACCATGAGGACATGTAATGACATGAAGAACACCTTTTGTGATTTTGCTCTTTTTTCAATCACGTGAGCAAAGCAATTAAAATGATATTGAGAGGTTAGTCCTTTTTTATAAATGGTTTATTGTCATGTGTGTATCATATTCAGGCGTGGGTAAATGTTTGACTGACTGTGTTGCAATGACTGTCTTTTAGTTTGTATTCTCTGCACTGAGTATGGCTGTCTTGAAATGCTATATTAAATGAAGTCATTCAATTTCGTTTCAATGGGATGCCAATCATGCATACTGTTTCGTATATATGACTATAGCTCTTTGGAACACATTGATACGTCAAACCTATGGCATCAAGGATAGGATAGAAATATTTTAATTCTTCCTTTCGTTGGCATGTTTGATTGTCTTGTCCCCAAAATCCCCATCCCAGGAATTGGAGCTGAAAAAGAAAGCTGAAGAAGAGGCAAAGGCAAAAGAGATGGAATTAAAAGATGTTGAAGAAAAAGAAGCAGCAGGATCTGATCCAGAGCTTTTGGAAGTAAAAGAAAGGCTAGGTAAATTGGAGGAAGCTGTAAAGGAAATTGTGATTGAATCAAAGGCGCAATTGGGGAGGACCAGAAGCAAATATCAGGATGATGGTGGTGTGAAAAAGCAACCAGCGACAACTGCACAGGGAGACACTAAAAGTAGATCAGACGCAAGCAGTTCAGCAGATGAAGGCCACCTTAGTGAACAAACATCTGCAGGAAGAACAACGGTCAAAGTTCAACGGGAACCAAGTGGATTAGCACCAGTTACTGATTCTTCCCTGCGGGATGAGAAGAGGGACCCAAAATGAAGGGCCTGCTCAAGCTGGGCAGAAATGAACTGTGGCATCTGTAGTGCCTGCAAGCAACATTCTTTTTCAGAACATTGAAAAGTCGATCGAATTCATATAGAGGATGCAACAGGGACATGGGGACATCCTTAGAACCCAGCAGAAGATAAGTCATGTTTGTTAGACAAGTGTACGAGGCTCAAAAATTGCTGATGGGGACATCTATGCATGGCTTGTTGAATTGTTATCATGTTGGGGCTTTCTTTGCAAGCACTATGTAAGAGAAACTTCAGATTGGTGGAGCTTTATTTTGTTTGTCATTTTCATGGGAGCACAATATGAATGCAAGGCCAAGGCTTTGATTCTGTGAACATAAGCAGATGGATACGTTAAAAACCTTCTTTACAGTGTCTTTTATGATATGAAATTCTCCTGTGTACCCTCTTTTATGAACTTATCTGTTATTTAAAATAAAAAATAAAAAAATTAAGGGTATCGTCATAAAAATTTACTTTCTCCACTTGGTCATACTATTTCTTTCATCAACGCCACTCTACTCAATTAACTCAACTCGACTCGGGTCTACTTGATCCAAATAAATGGTGACCGGATATGAACCATTTCCCAAAGTAGCTGAATTGGGCTTGACTTAATTCAATCACTCTCTCCTTTTATCTTATTATTTTTATAATTTGATTATTTTTTGGGTTAAGAGCGACTAGGGGCGCAACTTCTCTGCTGTGAGGAAAAAATAACACAGTATTTTGTTAATTAAAATGCGGACGTTTGAGTTAGTTTTGCATAGGATAACAAATTCCCCAAAACAAGTGTTGAAAGTCTTTACTGAGATTCTGAGGTGCGGATCAAAGGGGAGGTTCCCTCTCTAAAACATGAAGGCTTCTCTCTCTAAAAAGGTTTTCCCTCTAGTCTCAGGTGAGTCTGCTGGTCATTATGTATTTTATTCCGTTGTGTTGCTACCAGAGAATTCATCCTCCTCCATCTTCACTACATTTCATTCGATTTCTCGATTGTATCAACTACCAATCACCAATATCTGTAGAAATGGGGTTTCAATTCCTTCTTATTTGGAGTCCCATTAAAGCAAAAAGGAACAAGGTATAAAATCAAGCTTCATGGTCAATAATTGGGAAGTTCAGGTGTTGAAGCAGATGGAGAAAGGGCTTAACAGACACTGATGAATTGGATTTCAGTGATAACCCATGTTGCATCCAAATTTATGATCTTACTGTTTGTAGTTTGACAGTCAGTGAAAATTATCCCTCCGTTTAAATTTATATGTATGTTTGATATCAATAAATAACGAATTTAGACCCAAAAGAGAAGTCTTTTCTCTGCACTCCATTGCACAATCTCTGTGCACACTCAAGACCCATGATTTTGTCTCTTTCTCTCTGTTAAATTTTACTACAAATTTCTGGATAAAATCAAAATGGTGGGTGCCAAAGGTCTTATGATTGTCACAAGAAAGGTTTTGAAGGAGCTTATTGCAGAGAATGAAGACGGTGGACATTACGATTGGAGCAAAACCTTACAAGGAGAAAGAAGAAAAGTGGATGGGCACAGTGAAGGGATTGTAGGAACTGGAAGTAACTCAGTCAGCGAGGTAGGAAAGGAGATTGTCGAGACCCGGATGAAAGCAAAGAGTGTTTAAGAACAGAGTGTCATCATTTTACTTTAAATAAATGAAACGTTGCCATTTCATTTTACAGCACAACGTGCTATTTTTTTGCTAACAACAGACGAGCCAGACCCGTACTACTACTACACATAATAACTCCTTAGGATGTTATCTTTAAAGTTCTCCCAATTATAAAATATTGGTTTGGGCCATAGAAATGAAGGAGTCTCTCATCTCAAAGGAACATTAGAGTTAATTATACTCAATCTACTCGATCCAAATAAATGGTGACGGGCGACGAACCATTCCCCAAAATAGCTGAATTAGTCTTGACTGAATTCAATCACTCCCTCAGGAATCCACCCGTTTGGGCGATAGTTACCAGCCTGAATAATCGAACCTGTCATCACAACACGACTACGAGCAAGTTGAAATTAATTTAAAATTAAGATGTCCCAAGTTCTCACTTTCACCCTCTTTTCTGTCTTTTGGTCTACCGGTACACTCTCAATTTGGCCGTTGCTATAAATTATAAACACTCCTTCCTTAAACCCTACCACTACCACTACCACTACCACAGCCACTATCACTGCTCTGCAACTATTTTTTTTCTCATATTCCATCAAATTAGAAGTCATCAATGTCAATGGCCTATCGTCTAATCCGACCCTTACGAAGAATTACAACAGAAACACTTGCCTCTCCTCTCTCTTCCTTTTCTATTTCCAAAACCCTAACTGCAATTCAGCCACAGCTTCAACAAACAAGAAGAAGTTATGTATCAGAGATGAGGAAGTCAGCATTCGAAGGCAACATCATCAGACTACTGCGAAACGAGATCCAGTACGAACTCGATCGTTCTCCTCCCTCTCAGGTAACATTTTTTCTTTGTGCTTCTCTGCGTGTCTTGTACAATTGTTCTCTTGTTCGTTTCCTTAGGAATCTGAAGCAATTTCCTGAGAAAAGGTAAAGGGTTGGTTTGCTTTCTGAGAAAATTCAATCTTGTAATTGTTTTTCTTTTGTTATTCACGGGTCCTGGAAAACACAAGCCTCCATCAATTGCGCCCAACACTTGAATTAGAGATAAATGAACCTAAAACATCGAATCTACTGCCAAACAGAAATGCAAAATGTAGGAAAAGGAATATATATATTAGTAAAAATACGTATTTCTAGTTGACCTGATTTTTCATTATGAATCAACCAAAAGAAAAAAAATGAGAGAGAAATGTAGGAATTGAATTGAAAATCTTTAGTGTGAAGGTTGAAGAGGTGTAGGAATTGAAAATCTTTAGCGTGAAGGTTGTAGAGGATAAGGGTCCTTGGTTGATGGCATGATGCCTTGGGAGGGAAATTCCAGCTCCAACTAGAAGAAGAAGCAAGTTGAGCTTTACTTTGTTAAATAAAGTAAATTAAATTGCATCTGAAATGTTTAAATATAAAAAAGATGATGCAAAATGAATTAGTCGGAATGTATTATGGAATAACCGTTTTAAACTGGCCTTTAGTTCTCTACAAATGGTGATATCTCTTGCACAAATGAACTTTATGGTTATCTGATCGCTATTTTTTTGGGAAAGCTGTTCTGATATCAATTGGGTTATATTGGCGATTGTTGGGGTTTTGATATGGTTATGCACTTAAATTTCAGCTTGTCCCTGAATTCAATTTGTTTACGGTTGATGAACGGCCTGGAGAGCAGTGGATTAGATTGACAAGGAAATTTGGAGAGAATGAAGAGATCAAAGTTGAAGTAACTATGTTTGATGGGTCCATTCCTGTTCAGAAACCTGGTGGGATTGCCACAGCGCATGATGTGCAGCTTCACATCACGATGATTGTTGATGTGTTTAAGGGGGAAGGCAGTGATGTGTTGGAATTTGTGTGCTCTGCATGGCCGGATAGCATAGAAATTCAGAAAGCTTACATGCGTAAGCATGATCGGATGGCAAGTCAGCCTTACATGGGTCCCGGATTTAAGTATGTATCCTTTATTCTCTACCTTTTATTTGTTTGCTTCATGTTAATAATCAACTCAACTCATCTTAACGAATCGTTCTGCCAATTAATTTGAGTAAAGTTGCTGAGAATGTGAAGAAGTTAACTGAAAGTTTCAAAGCTTAAAAAGTTTCTGTTTGGAAATGTTCCACAAATTGGTTTTCCTATATGCATATTTACTAAAAATGAGGTGCCAGGTTTTTATTTCTGAAAAAAAAATAAAATGTAATGGCGTTATCTTTATTTTGAAAATTAGAGATGTTACAAACCTCAGCATTCCATTTGTAGTATCCATTGGGAAATTTGTACAACAGTTCTTCTTCATCACTTGGAACCTTTTTGCTATTGACAAATTTAAGTAGCAAGGAGATTTAAGATTTTATAATGTAATATCTCTGTTTTCTCAGCACCTAAACAGAAGGCTTTGTGCTTTAGCTAGACAATGTGGTTTTAAAGGTCCGTATCTTTTGTGTTTGTGATTGGTTCATTTATAGGGAACTTGACGATGAACTGCAGAATTCACTCTATGCATACTTGGAAGCAAGGGGTATAAATGATGAGCTTGCTGTGTTCGTGCATGAATATATGAAGAACAAAGATAAAACCGAGTTTATAAGATGGATGGAAACTGTAAGGTCTTACATAGAAAAGAAATAAATTGTAGAGGGTAGTTCTGCAATTCTTTAGAAGACATTATTGTATCATACATGCATTGATTTGGAAAGAGTTATACTGGTGCTGCAATATTTTGGCATTCTATTTGAGTTTCACTATGCAGCCAAAGAGATAAATGTATGTTCTAGCTGACTAGAGAATGAAACTGGACTCATTTTGAATGAACTTCGGTGTCTCTACAGGGCAATTCACATCATTTAGGACCATTTTTGTTCTTGTATTGCAAGATAAGAGGCAAGACACAAAATAGGAGGCTGACAATTAAACTAGAATTTTAGTCCGAGCTATGTAATTCGAGTTCAACCCATAACCACTACCCGGGTTGAAGTGTTAAGCTTGGTGCTTTTATAGCTTAGAACGAGTTCTGATTGACCTTTTAACAGTGTGCTAATTGTACAACAGAGGAGGTGTTCTTCAAAACGACGTCGTTTTGGGTATCATTTGAGAAACAACACCTGCTTTTGTACAGCAGAGGAGCCGGACTCAGTGCTAACCACTCAAAGTTACCAATAACGATGACCTATACCATGAAAATGTTTTACACAAGCAGTGTGCTAACCACCATTGCTGTACCTTCAGCAAGTTCATTATCCTATAACTGAATAAGTTCCATCAAGTTATCAACGGCGATGTTCCACCTTCCAATAATAGATTTGGATCTATGTATACAAACATAAACATAAGATGAACATATTTTGTGAGCTCTTTGCATTATATGTAAGGTGGGTCACCATAATTTTCGTGCGTGAATTATGGCCAACTTTGAGTACATCACAAGTGATTTGAAATCTAGATGTGATTCATATGACTTAATGCAAAAAAAAAAACAAAAAAAAATCTTAGAAAGGCTGAGATTTTGATTTTAGCAATGATTGATTGTTAGATTAATAATAGCAAGAGTTACTTTATTTACATTTTTTGGGATGATTGAATGATTAACTTGAAATGTGACAAACATGACTCTAATTTGTACCCATGGGCCCTGTTTGAGGGATTTCTTGACAAGAGATGAATGCATTCATGATTTAAATCACACCATTTTGATTACACTTAGTGCACAAAAATCTCGTCTATAACTTAGTTAAGAGAGCTAAGCGACGAGCAATTTCATCTATGTTAAAAAACTAATTTTTGTCAAATTCGTAAAATCTTAGTTGAATTAACATTTAGAGGGATTTGGAGTTCGGTTTTTAGGTAAAATAGGATTTCAAAAAAAAAAACCCACTCTTCAATTTTCTTTTGAATTAGGTCTCCGTTAAAAAGTCAAAGTAATGGGCATAATTAATGCCTTTTACAATTGTAAAAAATAAAGAAAATGTTATCACTTAATCTAAACACCTATTCTAAAAAGATACGTCATTATAATGTACATTTTTTTTTCATAAACACAAACATAAGACAAATATACTAAAAAAAAAAAGGTACGCAATTAAAAAAAAATATATACTTTTGATCCCAAAAAAAAAAAGGGTACGTAATAAAAAAATATAAAAAAACAGGTACACAATAATTGTTTGAAAGGTATATTAAAATACAAATCGTCAGAGAAGTATACTAAAATACAGATAGTCAGATAAGTGCACTAAAACACAGATCATTAATGTACATTTTACTCTATAAACACAGATCGTCAGACTGGTACATTAAAACACAAATTGTCAGACGTCATCATAATGTCCAAGTTACTTGGTTCACGAGTTTGAATTTCAAAATTGATAGATAATATTGCAAAAATCTCAATAACAAATGCAAAAAAAAAAAAAGAATAAGAAACTAACTATATTTAAGGCTGAAAATACGTGATGAGGGTAAAATGGGTAATGAAAATCAATAACTAATCAATTTCTTAACATTCGCACCAACACAAGAATCTGCATTCAAGTTTTTTCAAAATCAAAAAACTTTTTTTTATATTAAAAATTCTATAAAATTAAAATTAATTTACACACTAAAGAAAGGATCCTAGCCTAATTAACTATAACATTTATCAACTTTCCGTCCCCAACCCCATCTCTACTTTACAGAATTCAATATGGAAAACCATGTGATTGCATAGCTGAGGGTCACTATGAACCCTACTTTCCTCATTAATTCACCAACCTATTGATCAAGACCGTTCAATAGATGGTCTATTTCTTCAACCGCAAGTGGGTCAAGCATTGCGTAATTCAGACAATCTCAACCATCCAACTGTATAAATCTAGTGACACCATGTGACTTCAACGTCCTGGATTGGATTACCATTGATCAAACAGTACGGATTGGTGTCAACTTGCTTAGTGTCACACACACATCAGTCTTTATCCCTCTACAAATTTCAAATATGTTCTCTTATGAGCACTAAAATCCTAGATTATGAGCTACTACACCTAGAAAGTTATGGTTTAATCGGGTCAAATTGATCGATTCTAAAATATTAAAATTTAAAACCGTTTTTAGTATTTTAAGATCAATCTTATCTCGGTTTGAATTGTATTTGACCTTTGGTATATAGTATCAAAGAAAGGGTTTTTATGATGGGTTGATGTGTGATCAAGATCCCATCAAATATAATTTTTTCTTCAATTTTGGCTAATTATTCACTATTAATAATTGAGGAATTCACTTTTATATAATATGTCTCATTTAAATTTATGATTGATGATCCGTCGAGAAATGAATTAAAATATATATATATATATATATTAAAGAGAATTTTGCAAGCATGCATAAAGCCTACCTGTATGCAATCATTAATGGCTGAATGCTTTCAAAGAAATCATTGTAACTTCTCAACTAAACCATTGTTCCAAACATAGAGACTTAAAAGTAACCATGTATGGAATTTGGTCACTTCATTATTATTTTTGGTTTACTGATCAAGGGTACGCGGATTAATTTATATATACTTGATTAGTTCTTGATCCGATTCAAAGTAGGTTATCTATGCTGAAATTAGTATATTTATAAGAAAAAAATGATTCCTCATGATCTAGTGGTAAGAGATTGTCAAAATTTGAATTCAGGACATCTGAATTTCTAATTCATCTTATTATCACTTGAGTTATGTTGGGGTTGAATTTGATTAGTTCCAAAGTGATAGACAACAAAACAAATCACTGAAGTTCTCTGTGATCTGACCACCAGAACTTTAAGAACAAAACCTAATTAATGTTGTGAAGAGAGAAACTCTGAAAGATCAAGAAACAAAAAAGAAGACACAATCTGTGAAATTAAACAAAATGATAGAAACTACATTTAGAGTTTGAGGGACAAATCTAGCTTCTGTAACTCATCTTGATTACTTTTCAGATGACTAACACCATCACACCTATACTCTTTAATTCCATCTCCTGCTAGAGAAAACTTGTGAAAGCCAGCAGCCCCACCACTTGAAGACGATATTGCAGATTTCCCAAACTGATAATTCTCAGGGGCAAGCTTCCCAATTGCTGGCTTTCTAGACCACACATTATGGCCATAAATGGGATATAAACCTGAAGTGGATGATAAATGAGTCGGCTTATGGATCATAGAGTGGACTTGAATGCCAAGAGACCTATTGAAGGAGCCATGCAGAGGGAGAGACGCCATGCTTGAGTACCTGTAGTGAGGGTTTGAGCCAAGGCCAAAAGCTCCTGCTGAGACTGCAGCAGTACCTAATCGATGTCCTTGTTTCGTGATCGTTCGCTCTCGTTTGTGTGCGTTTTGATGGCCTCCCAGAGCCTGTGAACTGTAGAACTTTCTTTGGCAGTAGTTGCATGAAAAAACTTGCGGCTGACCAGTTTCATTACCTGGAGTCTCCGGTGAATTTCGTGGAGAACCCATTCGGAAACAATCGATCAGGTTGAGTTCTGGGTTGAACCTTTGATCTGAATCCTTGCTGGAGAGGCTTAAATCCAACATAAAATCAGGGTTTCTGTGTCCTGTGCGTTTTTGATCTTCTTGGTTTTGCATTGAGCTGTTCAGGCATGGCGGGGCCTCTGAGACTGAGAAGATGGCTGAACTTTCAGAGAGGTTAGATGGCTGAACCTTCATATGGGGGAGTTGATGTGAGACTTCCACCTTGTGGATGATGAAGGTTAGGCTTTAGTACAAAGAAAGTTATAAGGTTATTGATTAAAAATCAATGCTAAGGCGCCATGTATGGAAGGAAAATTTACAGTTACAAGTCCTTATTATAGTAAGAATGTGTGTGTGTGTGTGTGTGAGAGAGAGAGAGAGAGAGAGAGAGTATTGTTGGTGTCATCAAGCTTTTGATTGAAACTCATGAAGAACACCATCTACCTCTTTTGGTGGCATATATACCCCATTGAATATTTTCTCTGTCTTCCCACTCTTGTCTTTTTTCACATTTCTTGTCTTTTTGGTTTTTGCTCATTTTCTGGTGTACACGTGGTTATGTTTTCTGAAAGACAGTCCAAGAGATAAGGATAATTTGGTTTTTGGGGTTGCAGACTTATAAGGGTGTGAAATAGATACACCAAAAACAAGTAATGGCCTTAGCACGTTAACATTCTTGGAGGATAACCATACATCCTTTTCAATCTTGTAGTCCACCCATCCCATAAACAGTCCCTTATTCTATTTTTGGGAAGTCCACAGTAAAAACTTAATAGGAGATATCTCCGTCGTACAATAAAATTGTATACATATTATAATAACGAGAGACTCGTGTACTGAATCGTTTAATATATGAATGTTATCGGACGATAATGCCATATCACATATGAGATTTTATATTAAACGGTGGTACCATGTGTCTTTATTAATGTGATATCATCATTAAACCCAATATTCCAATATTAGAGTACTCTTTCAGAATTCAACGCATATCCTACCAAAAGGTTAGCTTTGGAAATTTTGCTTAGCCAAAAAAAAGAAAAAAATTGAAATTTTTTGAAACACTTTAGAAATAAAATCTTTTGAGTTGAAGTGTAAACATATGTACTGATTATCCACTTAAAAAGTTGGAAAATGAGGATGTCCAAGCATTGCTTTAATAGTGTACATTATCATGTGGGGTAATAATTTCTGTAACCACTAGCAGCTTTTTGAATAACTAGGACCAGTAATCATAGTTTAAATTTGAATTTACCAAGGTTTTATTTATAAGAAACATCAATAGCTTGAGACAAATTGGGATAGTTTCGTCCGTCAAATATGTTTTTAGTTTGTCTTCAAATGATTTCAACCATTCTTTGTCTTTAGATTCATATTTTGCTCTATTTTATTATATAGATTCTTTGAGTATGTAATTAAGTTGGCTCTTAGCTTTATTTTTTTGTAAGTTAGCTTATAATATTTAGGAATTTCTAAAATTTAATGAATAGGTTTGTCCATGTTGCAGGTATGAATATGGCCACTAATAACATACAGGTCTTTAAACAAAACTAAAGCTTTGAAATATTATTTTAATTCTTTTCTCATTTATTACAATATGAAGTTCTAAAAAGGAATTTTTAGGTCTAAGTGGTTTTGTAAACAATGGGATTAAGTTTAGTCATTTCGAAATTTGAATGTGACCATTATAGACTAGGGTTTAAAAAGGATCTTGAAGAAATAAACACCACCTTAATGTGACATTTAATGGGGCAACTGTTTTGAATTTTAAATGTTTTATAGGTGTATTTTATTTGTCTTAATACAATGATATACGGTTTTCTTAAATAATGATATATGTACTAAAACTGGGGTTTGTCCTTGGTTATACTCGGACTCAAGAGTCTGAGCGACATAAGCGTCTCTACTCACTAAGGATAGGTCTGAGATTTCTCCTGTTACCCAAAAAAATAAATGCACTAAAACATTCAATATAGCTAGCTGAATCCACGAAATTGGTTCGCCAATAGAAAATCGTTTGTAGTAAATTCAAGTAGAGCTTGCTATGTATGAGAAAATCCCCCAACAATACAAAGTATATAATACTTTTTTTTGGGAGATATTGACAAAAATATACATGAGAGAATGTAGATCCAAAAAACTCTTAAATAAGATTTTCCATATTAATATAAGATCAAATGTTTTTGATAGATACCGATCGTCCAATTCTTTCAAACTTCCACCTAAATCTTCAATTATTAGTGGTAGTACATGGAAATTTATTCATCCAACTCATAGTCATTATCTATATATCTTTATGTAAACCCTTGGGCCCATTGCACTCAAGTTGTATGTATGTATATCAATTCCATTGAAAAGCTACTTTAAATTTGTGTGACATATGGTTGAATCCATGATTTAAAAATGTTAGGTAATATTCCAAAGTGGAAAGATGGAGTGAATGAAGTATATTTACTCTCCAATCACATCTTTGTATTGACTAGGAATCTGTCACTACCTAAAAGACCAGTAGATATGAATATGATCGATAGTTTCTAGTAGGAACTTTGCCCACCTCTTTTTGCTATCATATTTCCTTGGAATATAACTAATTGACATGTGTGTTAAAGTAATAACTATCTTTTAAGATTTCACACACACACACACACACACACACACACACACACAAATATATATATATATATATCTTGCTTGTGTTTGTCTAGGGTTCTTTTCCTCTTTTTGATGAGAAATGGAAGTGACAATGAAAAGGACAACTTTTCATGGTGTTGGATTTGGAGAAATATTGTCATAAAATGTGGTTGAAATGGACAAAACCACAACCAAATTAAAGTAGATCACAAGGATCACGAGGATCGTTATTTAGTTTGATCCGTTCATCCTTCCCAATTCAACCTAATCCGACACAACTGATTGACATAGAAAAGAGTAATCAATCTCATGTTTGGTAAATATATTTATATTTTTGTGGGTCACACAAGTAACATCCTATGATAGGTGATTTAAAAGTTTTTTCAAATTTCTTTAACTAATTTGGGGCACAGTGCCTCTGAAGGCTCATATGTTAGGAAATTCACACGAAAATTTCAAACTTGTGAGAAATAACAATGAAAAAAACACACGCCAAAAAAAAATAATCACACGCACAAGACAATATTTACGTGATTCGGCAATTTACCAACGTTCACGAAGCTGCAAGGATTTTACTATTTTAAAAAACGAGTACAGAGAGGGCGGCGGCCGTACAAAGTCAATAAAATCCTAATCACCCAAAAGAAACAGGCTTTATATGTCTTGCACCGGACTACAAACAAATCGGCCCAAGCCTTCGTTCCATGAACTAACTCTTAAAAAAATTTTCATTAAAAATCGCACAATATTTTTCGGGTCGGATCATCATCCGGATCAACATAAAAAACTAGACTCCACAAAAAAACCCAACAAATCTCCCACTTGGAGGCTAGTTCAATCACCAACATCAATTGCAATCCTCCCAAGAATAGTCCCTCATCTCTGTAACTTATCTTCATGTCCTCAAGCTAGAAGGCCAACTGAAGCTGCACACAGCTTTAGCTTCTCAATAGTGACAACCTTAGTCAACATGTCGTCGGGTTCTTAGCTCCACAGATCTTCTTAAGTATCAACTAACCATCATCAAGCAAGGACCGTATGAAATAATACCTGATTTGAATGTGCTTCTTCCTGGAATGAAACGCAGGATTCTTGGCAAGGAATATGACACTCTGACTATCACTGTAAAGAGTACCTTTCTGTTTCTTTTTACCCAGTTCCTCTAAGAAACTCTGTAACCAAATCATCTCATTTGAAGCCTCTGACACTGCAACATACTCGGCCTCTGTAGTAGAAAGCGATACTGTCTTCTGCAGGTTAGAAACCCAAGACACAACAGAACCACCCAAGGTGTACACAAAATCGATGGTGCTCTTCCTATTATCAGTGTCTCCGGCCAAGTCGGCATCAACAAAACCATGTAACTCCAAAGTATCTCTGGTGTAACACAAACATGCTTCTGAGAAACCTTCAAGTACCTCAGAATTCACTTCACAACCTCCCAGTGTTGTCTTCCTGGGTTGCTCATGTACCTACTCACAACTCCCACTGCATGGGCAATGTCTGGTCTTGTGCAAACCATAACATACATAAGTGAACCAATAGCTGAAGCGTAAGGAACCTTACTTATGTGCTCATGTTCCTCCTCTGTCTTAGGTGACTGATCTTTGCTGAGTTTGAAATGATTACCCAGTGATATGCCAACTGGTTTGGCTTGATCCATGTTGAATCTACTAAATACCTTTTTCACATACTCGGTCTGAGACAATTTCAACGTGCCCTTGACTCTGTCTCTGTTGGTTCTCATACCAAGGATTTGTTTTGCAGCTCCCAAATCCTTCATTGCAAACTGTTTTGACAACTGTTTTTTTAGATTGTTAATCTCCTCAATGCTAGACCCTGCAATGAGCATATCATCCACATATAATAGTAAAATGATGTAAGAATTGTCAAAGAACTTAACATAACAACAATGATCAGCTTCACATCTCTTGAACCCAGTTCTATACATAAAACTGTCAAATTTCTTGTACCACTGTCTTGGAGCTTGTTTTAAGCCATACAAGCTCTTTCTCAGTTTGCAGACTAGATTCTCTTGTCCTTAAACAATAAACCTTTTTGGCTGAATCATGTAAATGTCTTCATCCAAGTCACCATGAAGGAATACCGTCTTCACATCTAACTGCTCAAGATGTAGGTTTTCTGCAACCACCATTCCCAATATCAGTCTAATTGTCGTCATCTTCACAACTGGAGAAAATATTTCTGAGAAGTCAATGCCCTTCTTCTACTGGAACCCTTTGACAACTAATCTGGCTTTATACCTCTTGCTACCATCATGCTTATTCTTAATTATGTATACCCATTTGTTGTGCAAAGCCTTTTTTCCTATTGGCAATTCAGTCAGTTCCCATGTCTGATTCCCCAACAAGGACTCCATCTCATCATTCATGGCTAACTCCCACTTACTTGAATTTTCATCCTGAAAGGCTTCATCATAACACTCTGGCTCACCACCATTAGTCAACAAGAGGTAATTTAAAGTGGGTGAATAACGCTGTGGAGGTCTAAAGATCTTGA